CCAGTTAAATCAACTGCGCTGCCTAATGAAATGCTTCCTTCAGTTTAGAGCCTTACAAACATTTTAATCGACCGCTCTTCATTAAGACTCAAAACCAAAAACAATTTCTCAGCCGCCACAAGGACGAATGAAGGTTTAATGCAGTGCACTAAAACTTCTGAATCGTCCTCACACAGCTCCCCTGGGACATCAGCAGTCATTACCATGGAATATGTTCGCAAGAGAGATTGTTTAAAACACAACTGAGAAAGTGCTTGAGCCAATGCAGATCACAATTTAAAGCTCAACAGGAACAGGGATATAACAAAAGCAGCCTAGACTCTTTTCCTGCACTAATACCCAGGACGTTCTTAAAAAACAGAGATGTAGGAAGAAACAATTATGCTTTTCCCTACACAGATGATTCTTCTGAGACCAGGAACTGGAGGAAAGAGTCTTTCAAACCCAGCAAGAGCTGGATTAGCATCACCAGCTTTGCACACTAATGCATTAAATGACCTACTCTTTCCCACATGGAGAAATTACCAAAATGCAGGTCTCAGTGTGACCTCTTTTTCATTAATATCACTATTCTCACCAGCCTTGTTAAATCCTTATTCTGCTTCCTGCTGCCCCAGCCCAGCCTGCCATGGCACCTCCCAGCCCCAGGCTCTCTCAGGGTGCGGGTGACCCCCAAACACGTGAGCTGTGACTGGTGCAGCACCAAAACTCTCATCCCTCCTGCCCAAAGCCTGGTGCTCTGCCAGTGACTCCTGGACAAAGTGACCCATCTGGGAAGCACAGGCAAGATGGTCACCCTGCTAACATACACCTTGCAAGATCTGTGTTTCCCCTTCCTCTGGAAAAAATCCATCTATTTCTCAGTTTGGTCTGGTACAAGGACCAACCACTGCCACCAAAGCCCTGCTGTTAAGTGGACTTCAGCCTGCACAGCAAGATGTTTGCACCGTGTCTTAAAAAAATATATTCCTCATCTGCTCCAGAGATATGCGCCAGACACAAGTATCCTGTGGGCAGGATCTGTTCGCTGTTAAGTGGACTTCAGCCTGCACAGCAAGATGTTTGCACAGTGTCTTAAAAAAATATATTCCTCATCTGCTCCAGAGACAAGTATCGTGTGGGCAGGATCTGTTTGGGGCCCTGTATCATCAATCCAAAACAAATGCTATGAAATCCTATCTCTTTTTTAATGTCCTCTTTTTCTTTTTGTGATGGAGGTTGCTTAAAATTGCTGCAGGAACTAACCTCTGTTACTCTGAGTTACCCCATGTGCTTGATGTTACAAGAAAAACCCTGCATAAAGGGTCATCAGACAATGACTTTTAAGAACAAGATTTCATCTAATTCTTTCATGGGCCAAATTCAAAATTCAAATTTCACTCAGTCACAGTTAACAGGTTGCCACCAGAAATATGCTTGGCTCAGTGGGCTTAATGAAGGTCATTAAATTCCTTTCTATCCAAGTGGATTTCTCTCTTAATTTGAAATTTATAGCTTAATACCTTAGAGCTCTATTATAGGATAAAAGATACAGAAATAAAAGTCACAACTTTCCTGTATATATTCATGTGAGATAGTTCAAACAGAGCTTCATTTCTAGTACCAGAGATCTTTCTTTTTCCTCCCCAAGAATACCAGTCAGAAAAACAACATCCTGCAAATTCTGGAGCCCAGTAACAGAGACTGCAGACAAATTCCTTTTACTCAATCATCTGTGTATCACTTGAAAAAGGTTAATCCCAGAAACCTGTTTGCCTTTTTACAGAGCGTAATTGCAAACACTGTCAGATCATCAGAAAGGAAGGACAGGCAGGAGGATACTTGTACTCTAAGCTGTAGTCAGGTCATGAAAAAATCAAATGTGTATTCTCCAAAGGAACACAGCCAGGAGTCAGATGGGAGGCTGAGACACCTGTCCTTAAAGTCTCTGCACTCCTAGTGATCCACAAGAGAGATCTGTACAGACATTTCATTACAAAAGGTAGGAAGTGTTCTCTTCTGGGTGTGTTCTGTTATAATCAGACAGTGTCTTTCCCTTTGCAATATTTTATGTTAATTCACCACCGATTTTCAAAGGAATAGTGTAAAAGAGTGAGAGCCAGACAGAGCACATGCTCAGTTGTGAGGTTTGGTTTTGCATTTCTAGTGGCTTTCAGTTAGACTGTTCAGAAAAGCTTGATGAGGACTTGCACAGATGCTTTACAAAATGTTCTGGTGATCCCACCAAATTCAAGCCTTCATCTATTCAGATGTTAGCTGACATATTACTTTCTTTAATCCTTAATTTTAAGGACAATAGGTAGCTTCCATGAACTATGAGTTACATTTATACTCCACCATTACTTATAATAAGACCAAACAGAGTAATTTGCTGTTTCTGTCTATGAAAATGTAACTATGTTTTGATACTTGGCAAAACTCTGCATATTCCTAAAATAGGTGGTAAATACTATTATTAGAAATGTTAAGTTTTGAGTACAGGTACTTTCTGTTCTTAAAATTACTTGTGCTTGTAAAAGCAAAGAATTATGTGCCTTGGTAATTGCAAGCAAAATTCAGCTATTAACCTGCTTTTCTGCAACTGTGTATGTTTACATATTTGAAGCAGACCAGGAGCATCATTAATGTTGATATAAAATGTGCAAGCCTTTGTTCTGGTTGTAGAGAAAGGCAAAAAATTGTGGAAGTCTGGACCAAGGAATTCTGCATGCAACCAGTGCCTAAAGCTACTGGAAGTAGACAAGGGCACAACTCTGAATAGTTAGAAACCATTTGTCATGCTAATCTTTCCAGCACCTCATGAGACCAGCAGGCTCTTTCAGCAGCTACTGCATTTTCCCCTTTAAACTTACTCCTCTTTCTTTATTCCCAGCATCTGTTCTTTCAGTTTAAACAATTTCCTGTTTTCCTAATAGAGGGAGAACTGATTAGACACAGAGCCTATTTGCTGTACACTGGCCAAAATTGTGGACGGGGTGGTTATTTTTATTATTTCTAGCTGCACTTCTGGAGATCTCATTAATTCTGAGGCTCCCTGATACAGCTTTGGTATGTGCAGGAAGAAAACTGAGGCCAAGGGGGAAAGAGATATAAAGGAAATAAAGGCCATGAACACATGGCTGGAGCCAGCCTGCCCCAGACTCACTTGTTCAGAGGTGCTGTGCCAAGAGGCAGCTCCAGCCCAGGAGCAGTGGCAGTGTGCTAGGTGAGAAAACCTGCCCACAGGCAGGCAGAGTGTGCCAGCAAAGCCTTGGGGCTCTGCTGACACAGCCTGGTGGCTTCCAGCTATCAGGGGGAGCTGGTCCACCAGCCACAGCCCAGCACTGTGCCCATCCTGCCCTACCCGGGGTGCAGTTCTGCCCTGAAGCTCACACAATCATGCCAAAAACAGTCTCCATGTCCCCTGCCAGCCTCCAGCCCCTGCACCACCCTGTCTTCATCCCTGCTTCCCTTTTCACAGCCTATTCTTGCAATACTGAAGTTTTATTTCATTTAAGGAAAAGCTCTACAACCTGACACTCAAATGAGGTTTGGGTGGTGTTTCACAGTGCCCTTGAGCGGAGACAAGCCCAGCTGCTGGACCATGCACACAGCAGACACGTCCCCAGCTTCCTGTGAGTCATGCCAGCCAGTGACTGCTCTTACGCAGAGCAGGCTGGTTTTCAGCTTTACCTTTCTGTTAAGTCCCAGAAAATGTGCATGTAAGCAACTGCAGCACTTCTCAGCTGAGGACCAGGACAGGCTCCCTTGGTAGCAGCAGCAGCAGGGCAGGGCCCTGGGAATGCAGCAGGGAGAAGAGGTGCCAGTGGGTCTGAGAAGTGCATGAGGAGCTTGGAGCTCACACTGCAGACAGAGCTGACAGCTGAGGGGATCAAATCTGAGAGGAGCTGAGCTCTCCCCCCTGGGTTTGGATCAGATCCTCTTGCAGGGAAAGTCTGATAGCAGAGTCTGGCCCTACAGCAGTGCTCTGTCCTGGGCGTGTGTCCCACTCCCAGCCTCCGCAGCGGGAGTGCAGGCAGGGAGCGAGGACAAACTACAGCACAGTTTCAGTGCTTTTTCTCCAAACAAACAAAACCACCAAGCCTAACTTGCTCAAGCAACAATGGATCAAATTCTATTTCTCTTAATGCTGAGTGGAAAAAAGAATTTAAAAAGACAGTTCAGGTTGCTGGCTTCCAGTCGGGAGTGGGATGATAGGAACCTTTCCTCCCTGGACATTACTTGTGTTGTGCATGGCCAGAAGTAGGGCCATAGCCAAAACCAGACCTGCTCTGGCCACACTGACCTGAACCAATCCTGATCTATCAGTCTGGAGCATCACCTAAGCCAGGTTGCATGGATGCTGTATGTGGGACACACATTGCTCAGAACAGAACATCCACTAAAGAGGCCACAGACACCACAGAGACAAACAGTATTCACCATTCACTGTGAGTGAAGCCCAGGCTCTCAGGATAATACCAGAGATGTGTTTTGTTCCACATTGATTTTAAAGGATTCTGCCCCCATGGTACTGTGCCATTACACACAATGTCTCCAGTTCACAAGGTAGTAGAGTGTACCAGTACTCACTGGTGGCCTCTTTGCATTTACAGACAAGGATATACAAAAAGAACATGAACTAGTGTGCACTTTGGCAATCATAAAATAACATATCCACAATTTGGGGCATCCTGGGTGTATAGACAGCGTGGCTTCCCCTCATTCTAGGTCTTCAGGCACTGAAAACAGTCCCTCTGTTGTTTAAAAATCTTATTTTTATCCAGAATCTCAAGACAATGATTACCACATAGCAGACGACGCACATGTACAAACATTGATCCATGGACATGGAGTCAGGCTAGTGCTGTGCCCATTCACAGGGACCTGGGAACAAAACTCACCAAGGACTGAACAGCCTTTTACCCACTGACTGCAGGAGCAGCCCAAGCAGCTTTGCACTTACATGATACAAAAGGGAAAACCCAAAACAACCTTAAAGCAGCTGGGCTGCTGCCTACCTTTTCCTGAAGGGAAGAAGCAATCCATCTCCACACTGCTGCGGGAATGGGAAATGCAGAGAGCGCTGCTGGGGACCAGACCCTCCTGAGGTGGGCTCCTCTCCGTGGTCCGGACCAAACACCAGCCTGGCCTCTCGCTGGGCCTCTCCAGCAGCTCCACTGTCTGCCCCACCTGAATGCTCAGCTCGCTGCTGTGGCCCGCTGTAAAGTCCTGGAGCACCACAGTTAGTTCACACCCTCCAGACAACTGCCCAGGTTCAACAGGAAAAAAAAAAAAAAGAATAGATGTTAGCAAGGGTAGGATGAAAGCAATCATCTCTGCATCATATTTACACTGGCAAAGACAGGATTTGTGTTCCTTAGAAGCCAAGTTAATTTGTTTTGTCAAAGTTCAACACGTTGTGCCTCTGGTTTCCTTTACTTCTTATTGATTTTGCTGGGCTGAAGTGAGACACCAAAGCTACCCACCCAGTAACCTTTTGAATGCTAGCTGTGGGGGAGTTTTTGAGCTGTGAATCTTCTAGCTGTGAGTGTCCATCAGAAACCCTGGGGGTTTTTTTGTTGCTTTAATTTCTGGGGTCACCTTCTAGCTTGGCAATAGCCCAGGATGCCTCAGTGCTGTGTTTCATGGTGTGACAACTTCCAGCTCATCCCTCTACAGCAGAAGTGAGACATTCCCACTGGCCACCACTGCAGTGAGGAAACAGCTTCTCTTTTCTTGGAAGACAAGAAATGTACCCTCATCTTCCCAAAGTTGCCCTAGGGACCTCTTGGGAGACTACAAAATCCTGATGGGGCAGATCAGAAGAACTCCTCCCATACTCTCTGATGGAACCCAGAGGTGTAAATATATAAATACAGAGTGATTGATTATATGCTGACTTTCAGGATTTGTACCTAGGAATAAATGTAACATTTTACTTCCGTACTGAGTACTGGAACTGCTGCTTTCCTTCAGCCTCACACCCTGTGACTCTTGAAGAACAACAGTGGTCTGTGTAATCACAGTCTCTGTACAGCCAGGGACTGGGAATATAAGCACTTGTGCTTATATTCCATAAGTGATTTATGGATCTTTAACAAAGATCTTGGGGTTTCTTTAACAGAATCAGATATCAGGGTTGGATTCTTGCATGTCTAAAAGGGTATGAAAATGAATCAAAGTTTTTCTGGCCTGAGGAATCTTTCTTAATGCTCCTCTGCATTTGGATTTCTTGCTGCCTGCCTATTGTTAGGGATCCTCTTTGTCCTGTGTGCTGCATGCTTCCCTGAGGTACACAGGAATCTTTGGGGCTCTTTTTCCAGGGTCAAATTTGATAGAAATTTTGAAAGAAATTAGTTCACTGATTCAAAAGTTCTTAAGATGAGGATAGTAAACAAACATAATACTATAAATTTTATTTTCTTAGGATATGAAGCTAAAACCAAGGATATTATACAATAATTTTGAATGAATGACTTGTAAACCCAACTGAATTTGAAGAAATTTTGTTAGATTCGGAATAACTGTGGTATCAGTAAAAACTGGGGTCTGCTTCTCAGCTTGAATGTGGGTGCCCTTGAGGAGAGTACACAATCTCTACAGACTTCACTCTTGAGCTGGTACAGTCTCAAAATCCCTTCTCTCAGCCCAAGCAGCCCCAGTACACATTCCCAAGGGAACAGCCTGTCTCCCACTCAGTGGCATAGAGGTTTTTGTGTCCAATGCAGATGTGAAAGAAATCCCACTCACAGGGGTGATATTCACAATTACAGAAAGGGGTCAGTGGACAAGGACTGGTTCTCACCTGTCCTGTGTCTCTGCCGTAGACGAAATGCTAGATTTGGGGAAGAAGAAGGAAATATTTCTCTGAAAGATTATTTGTAAGTAAATAGAAACAAACAAACAAAACAAACCATGGCAGCTGTTTGAGGCCGTTCAGACAAAGTGCTGGCATTAATCCTGGTAGAAAGAGCTCAGTGCACTGATGGAAGTGCACAAGAGGTCAGTGTAGCACCTAGCAGGGCAGCTTATCATCAAACCCACCACTCATCATGCTGACAATCTCCCCATAACTGGAGAACAGACATTCACAGGGATTGTAAGAATGAGATACTGCTACGATATTTGCAAGTTTCTTTGCTATGGACTAATTTGAAGAGTAGAAAATCTTCCTGACCCAATATAGTATTTGGTGTGGTGTGGGATATTTAAGACAGGAAGAAAAAAAAATGATTACTTCATGCTAAATACACAGACAAATCTTACCAAAAGTGATGGATTTCTCCTAATTCTTCCATTATTCCATGCTAAGTAAACTTTCTGTCCCCCAAATTATGCTATCTACGATATCTTCTTGAAAAATAATAAAATCTCTCCTTCTTTTAGGGGAAAATGTGAACAAATACTCTGCTCTATCAGCTTCTCTCCCACAGAGCTGTTGAGAGCCTTCATGCCCTGTCCCGGAGCACCACTAGGTGTCCGTGTTTGCCATCTCACAGCAACTGAATTTGATATAAATAATTAACTCTTGCCTGTCTCCGAGGTGCTTATCCAAGAACGAGGTGCAGCGTCTGGGCATGAAGGAGCTGGTTCAGACAGCATCCTCAGACTCATTGCTTTCAATGATATGGGCAGAGGATGTTTCAGAATATTAAAAAAAAATTGTTTTCAGATGGTTCAGATTGAATTTTGAAAAATAAGTCATTTTTATTGTTTAAGATGACACCTGGGAAATTTTGGGACAAACAAGGCACTTCCCAGTGAGCACCAGCCTGGGAAGTGCTGCCCTAAGCAGCTGCCTGCCCTCCTCTCTGGGGGCTGAGGGGCAGCTGACCTAACATCAGTTTATGGCAGGCCTTGCCACCCCTTCCAAAAGAACTAAACAGCTGTGACACCAACAGATGCTTCAATCTGGGCAACACCTGTAAATGCTGTCCCAGAGGAGGCAGGTGTGCTCCGTGACCCTTGGGTACCTTCCAGCTCTGTGTGCCTGTTTGCTTGGATTCATTATAACAGCAATTTCATATAATGAGAACAGGAAGTGATCCTCCCCTGGAGGAGCTCCTGGGCACCTGGTGTGATCAAGTTCTGCCTCAGCACTCAAGATTCTTGCCCTTCCCCACCTTCAGACCATATCTTTGATGTGTGAGGGAGGGAGCTTGCTTCCCTCAGCTCCCTGGAGGCCTGAATATCCCTGAAGGCACATGAATTTATATCATCTGCTGCTCCAGGATCCGCTGCATGGAAATGTGGACCAGGGCTTTCACATGCTCCAGCTGAATGGCTGGAGCCAGTGCTAAAATAACACATTTCCAGAGAAAGAGCCCCTCCTTGGCAGGTGCAATTAAGCAGTTTCCCTTTTACAGGTAGGTGCAGGTGGTAGGTACAAGCAATTAGCTCAGGGAGGGCCCATAGTTCATTTTTAGGTGCCAGTTCCAAAGAACAGAAAAGGTACAGATCATTTTTAGGTGCCAGCTCCAAAGAACAGAACCCTTCCTGTTGCCCAAGGGCTTCCAAGTATTTCCCAGGCCTGTTCCGTGTCTTACATACCACCACACCACAAAGAACATTTTCTTAATAAATTAACCCACAGCAAAGTAATCTCTCTGGAAAATTTATGATATACTAATATATATCTACATTTTGTAAGCCACTGAGGAATAATGCAAATACATCTGATTCCCGATGACAGAAATTATTTCACCTGCAAAGTGATCACTCAAGCTGTTAGTTAGTTACTTAATTTGTTTTTAGAGAACAATTTTCCAACTTCTGAGAAGTATATCATGCTTCCATCTATGCTGCAGCATGGAAATAGGAATACAGATGGACTGCTGGTCTCACACATATTGCATTTGTTTTGGAAAGAAAATAGAGAATGCCCTTGGGGTTGAAATTCACAGGTAAATGGCTTCACATTTTAACATATAATGTTCACCTTTATTATTCCTGTGATTAAAACCACCATTAAAGCCACTGACTGGATACGTTTAGAACCCAGACAGCACTCTAATCTGTATATGGCACAACGAGGCACATTAAAAAAAAACAAACAATGCAACATGCCTTTGCAGAGCACAAGGCATAACTGAAAGATCTGACACAGGGACAGATCAAACAAATTACACAGCAAGCAACAGCCTTAAAATCAGGAAGAAAAGGAAATGGTAGAAGCAAATAGCAAAATGTAATGAGGAAGCAAGAGGGCCCCAAGCTGTCTGGAGTGGCTGTATGTCCTGAGAGAAGCTGGCAGGAGCCCCAGCCCGTCTCCACAGTGCCTGCCATCAGCAAACCATCTCCCATCCTCTGCCTCCACGAGTTCCTGGGCTAGAGAACATCACTGTGCATTCAGTGTGTAAATGTTCTCATCAGGTTATTTTAATCTAGTGATCAAATCTGAGCTAGAGGGGAGCCCTGCCTGTTCACAAGTGTGGGCAGGGACCCAGGCACAGTCCTCGGGAAATCCCCTCTCTGCTGCAGGACATTGCTACAAACCTCAGAGCACTGATGTGAGCAGTTTATGGCAGACACTGACTCTGGGGAATGAGCTCTGTCAGACACCTGAGCCTGTCTGCTCCTGGGAACACCCACCCCAGTGCCCATCAGCTGCAGGAGAGTGAAGTACAAGCAACCAAAATGACCCCAGGCATGGTCACATCCTGCTGTGAGGGTGTCCAGGCTGCTCCTAGAGCAGGAAGGCACTGGTCAGTGCAGGATGACATGGGACTGTCTTTCCCCAGTCACAGTGTGTGTGCATGGCCACTGTGTGCACCTGTTTCATTTTCAGCCACAAAGCAGCAGCAGAGGAAGCAAGGCTGAACACCAGAGGCATATTCATCATCATAGTGCAGATGGAAAACACCTACCAGGTCACAGGCTGTCCTTCCTTCCCTCAAATAAATCCCTAAAATAGATCTGAAGTAGTACTAAATCCACTCCAGGTGAAAGTGAAGTGGGCATGGTTAGCTTTCCAACAGGGAGAGCAGGTATTTGGAAGTGGGTGTCTGAAGTTTGTGTAAGTGTTTTGAAATATGCCAGCACTGCTGTGGAAACCCACACAAGCTGGTTATTTACATCTATTCAAGAGGACACAGAGCTCAGCTACTTTAAACAAAGCATTTTGTGTGCTGCAGCACCATGGCCTAATATAAATTGCTAGTTTTCTGTTGCTTTTAGGCTTTCTGCCTGTCTGGTTCTGGATGAAAGCCAGTTTTGAATAGAAGCATTTAGTCGCCATAAACAGCCTATTTCAAGAGGGTGAGAAAGGCAGTAGGAGCAAGAATGGGATTTGCATTCTTATCAAGAGATTTAAAAAAGTGAATAAAACCATTTACATGTTGGTTCTGTCTGCACCGAAATAAATCCAGGAGCTGTCAATTTAGCTGGGGGACAGACATGAGAAATCTTATCCCCCGTGGAGTTGTTTGTGAAAATTTCTGTACTTTCATAGAGATTTTCTTTTTACTGGGAGGTTAGAGAGTGAGAGATCAAATTCAGAAAAAGCCTTTGAGGAATTTCAGTGCTAGAGAATTGCTTTAGTTGTTTTACTCTATAACAAGCTCTGTTTGGAGTGTGAACTCTGAGTCACCCATGTTTCTCACTCTAAAGGATGCTGAGCCCTGGCAATGCTGGAGGATGCTTTGCTGTCTCTGTTCAGGGCTGTTTCTGGGGAGACAGGCTGTATTTCAGGAGCTGTGGGCTAACCAGGAATAACCTGCTACAGTCAGTAGCATTGCTCTGGACTGAATAGCTCTGAACTGAAAAATCAATGGAAAATGCCTGACTCATCTGAGTCCTTCTTAGTCCTCAGGCCCCATCTTCCATGAAGATGGAGTTGGGGCTTCCCACTCTTTCTGCTTTGTGTGACTGAACAGAGAGGATCTCCTGAAGCTTGAGCTTCAGGAGAAGGTCTGTTTATATTTAGGCGACTAATCAAACACATGGCTGGGAAAATGGTGACATCCAATGGGCCAAATATGCCATCTTTGCTCCTCTCAACAAGGAGATAACAGAGGTATCTGGGTGTGCAGCATTATAAATACAAGCACAGCAAGTTCTTCCAGAGCAGGAAGAAGAGACAGATGGCACGTGGGACATATAAATATGCTAAAGGAAAGGAAATCTGGTGTTATGGTCTCAAATAGCACATACCTTTCCAGCATCTCTTGCTGGAGTTCCTACTAGATGGCCATATCCTGACTCTGCTGGATTTTGGACTCTGGCACATGCTGACATCTGCAGAACAGCTTGAATGGAGCTGTCTGAATTATTTCTGGAGCCTTTTTTCCAGAAAGTAAGACTAAAGTTGATCCAAATGAAACAGCATTTCTAGCTATAAAAAATGCTTTTGAAGATAAAGACAACCAGACCCATTTTGTTTCACACAACAAATTGAACCAGAGCATGCCTGTGTTTGATCTGAAGGTTTCCTCATGGCATTTGGCTCAGAGAGCTGGTACCCAAATTCCATTATTTTCCCTTCCCTGGAGAAGCACAAAATGGAGCAAATATCATCTGTGCTCCTCAGTGACACACAGACAGCACATCTGGCTCCAAAACCCTTTGGTTTTGGAGGGTGAGCAAGGCAGATGGCTGAAACCCTCTGAGGTAAACCCTACCTGCTGTCTTTTGCAGCCACAAGACGTTCTAAACCAACACAGGGTTAATAAAAATGCTAGAACAGACTGAAATCAGGGAGCTGACTAGCTGTTTTCTTTCATGTTTGGCACCATTTTGAACCAAGGATCAAGAGTTCCAGGCACAGATGATTCATCAGACACCAGCTCCTGAGACACTCCTAACAAGTACACAAAATCTGATCATGTATTCTGGTCA